GCCTCCCATTCCCTGTGCCTCCACTGCACCCCGCACCCTACTCCCCCCAATCTCTGCATCCCTCTGTGCCTCCCGTTCCCCGCACCACCCCTGTACACCCCCACTGTTCCCTGCACCCCTCTGGCTCTGTGATGTCCTTGCACCCTGCTCCCCCTGTGGGTTGGGAGAGAGGGGCGCTTGTCCATCGGGAGGGGCTGGACAGGGCAGGGAAAAGGCTGCTGTGACCCAGCAGCAGTGAAAGGGGGAGTTCACTTGAAGCGCCTCTGCCTTTATCGGAAAAAAAAAGAATGAAAATGCTATCTGCTATTTATAGGGCTAAAATGCCGGGACAAAAACAAAAAACATATTGCAAAATGCAAACATGTAAAAAGACAACAAAATAGGAGGAGCCAGGGGGTGGTGGCCAAAAAATGTTTTGCTTGGGGCAGCAGAAAACCTAGAGCTGGCCCTGGGGGAGAGGAAGGGGCTGGGCTTGGGTGAGGGGAGGAGAAAGATATGGGGAAGGGGCTTGTGCTGAGGGGAGAGGAGGCAAGGAGGTCAGGAGAAGAAGAAAGGAGAAGGCACAAAGGACAGGGGTGCAGGAGAGGCAAATGCCAGGGGACCAAGTGCAGACAATGAAGAAAAGGGCAGGAGGGGAGGTGTCAGTGGGAGAGGGGACAGGGTGATGCTGGGAGAGGAGAGGGTAAGGGCACTGGGGGCTAGAGTGGGGAGAGGGCTTGAAAGAAAGGGTGGGCATGAGGAAGGCCGGGATGGAGCAAGGCATTACGAGGGCACAGGGGCATGAGGGGAACAGGGGTAGAGGGTGGTGAGGGAGTGGGAATCAGGGAAAAAGAGAACAAAGGGGCAGGGGCAGTGAGGGAAGGGGGAGGCACCAAGAGGGTGCAGGTGCCTGGGGATTCTGGGGGTAAAGCAGAAATGCAGACACCTGCAGGGGAGGGACCAGCACCAGAGGAGAGAGGCAGGGCAGGTGTGTACAGGGAGGTGTTACGAGCGGGGATGAGGAGTAGCTCACATGAGCAGAGTGGGGCTACTGGAGGAGTGGGCACAGGCGGAAGAGAAGGGCTGATGGAGGGGGGCAGGTCTCAGAAGGCTGGGCAGTGAGAAGGGCAGGAGTCAGGACAGCAGAGGAGGGTGAGGGGTTGGGGGGCAGCAGGCACCAGGGGAGCTGATGGAGCAAGGGGAGGAGACATGGCAGCAGAGGGAAAAGGTAGAGGTTTATAAGATATTTATTAATAACTTATTAGTAATTACTGTTCTTATTCTTATTAGGAATTTATGCCATAAAAAAACACTTTGTGGGGGAGGGTGGCGAGTCCCTTTTTTGTCTGGCAAGTAGGGGTTTCCATAATTTGTCGACCCCTGGCTATATTGCCTGATTCTACTAGGGTATTACAGAAAACTGAGTGCAGTCAGCCTTTCATCTGATTTCCAATTTAGCTAGAGCTAGTAAAACCTCACTATGAACTACAAGTTTCACAACAAAATAAAATGGATTGCAGTTTCTTGTGGATGTCCTCATCTAAGAGGAGCTTGAATTGCCCTTTAAGTGTTAAATGCCTGCATTAAATACCAGAGGTGCTTTACTTTTAAAGCAATGTTTCAGTTGTGCTTTGAGATAACAATAGTCAAGCTAGAACTATTAGTTTTGATGGTCTTTGAGAACAACACAGGCAAGCCATCTGTTCAAGAGCGAATGCAAGAGAATTAAATGGTGATAGTTCAACAGCAGAAACAGCTATTGCTTTGAAGGGGCTCCTAGTTAATATTGTGGTAGATGCAGGACCAGAGGAACTGGTGGATTCTTTGTGCTTGTGTTTGAGGCTAGTATCACTACCAAAAAACCCTTGACTATAATTATGCTTAACAAGATTGCTTAAATACCTGTGGACTCAGGATACTGTTTCAGGAAAATTAAAATAATCCTAAAAGACAGACAATACTTACTAGCAATTCTAGAAGTGAAAGGACTATACACTGTCTTATACCTAGTTAATGGTAGGTGTCATACATTAATGTTGTTCCAGGTCAGAGCTATTAACAGTCCAAACTGAAGGACTGACTGAAGCCTAGTCACACTGTAAGATGTGACTGAAGTTTTGAGATAGAAAAAGCACTAAAACTCAAAGGAACAAAGATACTTTACATGGTGCCCCAATTTCTATAGAACATGGATCTCTAGGATTGACAAAATGCGTTGGTACCAGAACTTGAAGTTTCAGCTTAAGTGAACATCAACATAAGCTTATTTGCTTAACACCAATTCTCAAATTTCATGCCATCGCTGAAAGCTTCTTACAGCACAATGCCACTTTATATTAAAGCATGAATTAAATTATAGCCCTGCATTAACACATCAATGAAGTGTCTGTATTGTGGCAGCAGAGAAAGAAAGTAACACTTAGAACTGCTGTACTACCTCTCTGACTGCCCAGCACATTTTATACTTACAGCCTGTCTAGCCTGGATACTAGCTGTTCCATCACAGATTATCTTCTTCAGAACTGGTCCAAGGGTCTTAAGGACTTCTTCACTTTCAATTCCTGATCCTAACTGCACACAGAGAAGACATGCCAGCCCTGCTGCTGCAGACTGTTCATCACTCTTACCTATAGATTAAAGAACATACATTGAGAGATCACCTGTGGGTTTTTTCCTGCACTGAATCACTAACACATTTAGAGACTTCTAAAGTGAGATCCAGCAACAAAGAAAACTCAAATGAAGAAAAGAATATGGGAACGGATATGATATCCATACTTCCAGCCAAAAGTGGAAGGAAGCTAGTCAATTTTGTAGCTCAATGGCCAAAAATCAATAAATTCTCAATATGGACATGAGAAGCTAAGCTAACATATGGTAGCTACTAAAAATTTCTATAAAATACTAAGAAGTTTCAACATAGTAGTTAACTCTACAGTGGTATGACAAATTAGTACCTATCCTATAGTTCAGTTACATTCCAGTAGTATACAAGCACTTACCTTTCTTTATGCAACGTTCAATGCTATCGGTTAAAGTCATTCTCCTTTCCAAGATAAATTCATACAGTATTTTAGAAGTCAGAGCATTTTTAAGACCTTCAAGAGCTGCTTGTCTTGTCTTTGCACTGTTGAAGGAATAGATTGATACAAATAAGTCTTCATGCAAGTTAAAGCTGAAGGCTCTGCCTTAGCACGCTTTTATAGCAGTCTTTATTACACATCTAACTGGTGCTGTCAATTTATGGAAGTTCAATGAATTAAGTACAAACATTTAATACAGATGCTGAGCAAATCTTCTGGGCAAACCAGCTCCAATTACAACACAGTTTATTCTCTTTCCACTGCCTTCCTCAGCTAGAATGCAGCAGGGTAAAACCTTTATAGTCAGATGCTGTGACATATGCCTTCTTCGGCACTTCAACACAATAGTTTACTAGCCCAGAAAAACTATTCAACCCATCATTGGTTCAGAAGAAACATCACTGACTCCAGGGGAGCTATTCCTGATTCACAAGAGAATCAATCTGCCCCCCTTTCCCCCAGTGTGCATTACTAATCTATAATTTTAGTAAGTATGTAACAAATAAAGATAGGCTAAATTTCTATGGAGCAGTACCATAGTATTAGTTTGTATTAGAGTAGTCACCAAACATAGTATACCTCTTGTCCAAGGTAAGATCAATGAATCCCTTTAACTTGTACTCAAAGTCTTCTTGAGTTGCTTCTTCATCAACTTCAGGTCCTAATGAATACAACATAGTTTAATCTTAACACATCACAACACTTGCATTTAGGTCATTTGAAATATACAGTATGAAACACTAACTACTACATTTAAATATACTATCCACCTTCTTTCAAGTAACAGGAACTTTAGCAGTAAGTGTAGGATATTACAGCAGTAAAATGACCCAGGAGAGGAACCTATCAGACTGCAACTACGGATAAGCATTTGGTTTTAGTAGCCAATTAATTCTTGCTGAATAGTTTGCATGTGTACATTTTAGAATGAAGCAGCAATCAAAGTCGGGGGGAGGAGGGGGGGGGTTGAGGTCTTAGGTTCTCTTGTGGTCCCTGACGCAAGTGGTAAAAATTACATTTGAATAAAGACATTATAAATTTGATTAAATCTAACCTTAGTTTTGGAAATTAGTAAACTATACTTATAAAATAAAAGCCACAGGAGGTTTTAAAAATCTTATGAAACATACATTTATCTGTAAATACTTAACATACCTAAAGAGGCACACATTATAGTAAAGGGGTCAGTAATGCCCTGAGACAGTGGTCTCCAACCTTTTTGAGCATGAGATCACTTTCTGAATTTAAATGGAATCCAAGATCTTCCTCAAATATAAATACTGTTGCCACACCTCCTTCCCACCCCTTCTCACCAAGGCCCCACCCCTGCTCACTCCATCCTCCTGCTCTTGCCTATCCTCACTCACTTTCATCAGGCTGGGGCAGAAGGCTGTAGTGCAGGCTCTGGTTTTGGATTAAGGGATTTAGAGTGTGAGGGACTCTGAGCTACTCTTGAGGCAGGCAGTTGGGATGTAGGAGAGGGTTCTACGTGCAGGCCCTGGGGTGGTATTTGGATGCAATAGTGCTAGGGGCTAGGGCAGGGGCTTGGGGTGCAGGAGGGGGTTCCTGACTGAGGGAGGCGTTTGGGATGTGGACTCCAGATGGGCACTCCTGGGTGGTGGTGCAGTGGTGCTTAGGGAGGCTTCCTGGCCCTGCACCACTCCCTAAAAAAGCCAGCAAACTCCATCCCAAGTCCTGTTGTGCCCCCTCTCTGGTCTGTGGAGAAAAGATACTGAGTGGGAGAGGGGGCACCTTAACATCAGCATCCCTCCTTTGCCCTGCCCAGAAAGCAGGAGGCTCCCTAGGGCTACTTCTACATTGCATCCCTTTTTCGTAAAAGGGATGCAAATTAGACGTATCGAAATTGCTAATGAAGCGGGGATTTAAATCTCCCCTGCTTCATTAGCATAAAAATGGCTGCTGCTTTTTTCCGGCACGGAGCTTGGCCGGAAAAAAGCGCCAGTCTAGACGCGGATCTTTCGGAAAATAAAGCCTTTTCCAAAAGATCCTTTATCCCTCTTAAAAAAGGGATGCAATGTAGACGTAGCCTAGGGGAGGGGCAGCTCCCAAGGCAAAGGTCAGGAGATGCACAACAGTAGGGGAAGGGGGGCAGCAGTAGTGCCAGCACTTGATAGCCTCTTGGCCAAAGTAGTCAGGATCCACTGTCAGAGGCTCTAAGAGCTACCAGTAGAACTGGATCTACTGGTTGGTGATCACTGCCCTGAGAATTCTATTCCCTCAACTCTCTCCATTCAGGTACAGATTTTTTCCATTCATTCCATCCAAGAATAAATTTTTAATGTGTGCTGAGCAATGTGCAAATGTGCACCACCAGCAGAAACAAAAAATCTGGCTGTGGGCAGTCCGCTAAATTGGTTGGGTAGCATCTGAATCACTCCTGAGTGGCCACACAAATGTGCAGCTTACAAGGAATACTGCCAGAGGACCGCCACATACACTCCCCCCCACCAAGTTTTTGGTTATTTTAAACATTAGTGCACAGTTAGTGACTGAATATTAGATAGTAAAGAATGCATCAGAAACATGACCTTTGTTTATAAAGAAATTTCATAAAATGCATCAATTAAAATCTAACCTGTACCTTCTTCAGTGAAGCTAGCAGGATCACTGAAGCCACTGCAGTGGCTCATAGTCTCAATTGATGCATCCTCATCACTGAAAGGCTGCACATTTCTGTGCTGACCACCTGAGGGGGGAAAAAAACACATTAGTAACTACTTCTATATTAGGGAATCACTGCAGCAGCGTCACACATTGTTGCTCTAACCCTTAGTATCTCTGACCCCTTGCAGAAAGTAGAAAGAAATAAGGGACTTTCATGTAAAAGGTTTGCCCTCTGGAAAACATGAGGCTTTCCAGATCCTGGGTTCTCATCTCTTCCTAGCCCTATTTAGGGTTTCATGGTTTAAGAGGGCTTCAGGGAAACCTTTCCCAATCTTAAACTACTTACAGAGATTTGCACCTGGAATAGTGTTCTGATACACAGTATTCAGTGTACTGGTGGAATTTAGAATTATGGAGGAATAACACCTCTGATTGGGCTTTCAAACAGCACTACAATCTATGTTTAAAGAATGTATTCCATTCACAGGTAACCACAAATAATGGAATTTCCTTGTTTTTAAAAATCCATTTTAATCAACATAAAAGTACAACTGAGTTTTGCTTTTTAAGCAATGGATTAGTCACTAAACTACCAAGAGTATTACTGGATTCTGCTTTTCTGTATATCTCCATAACTGAGAAGGATGCCATTCTAGAAAATCGACTATTTTAGAAGTGTACATCTATTTTCTCATCCCTCTGCCTTTTGCTATTTAGGAGGAGTTCTTAAACTGACAGGCAGAGTCAGGATCACCAAATTTGGTATGCAGTTTCTTTTTATTGTAACTTATTAACATGTTGCATGTTTGAAGCCCTGATACACACAATATAGTCTTCTATATACCCAAACAGAGTAGCATGAAGTGCACTAACTATGGCAAATTTTGCCACAGCATTCAACAGAAAGGGAACTTTGAGATAAGATTGCCACACACTTGTCTGGATACCACTGACAATCAAGAGCTGAATTCAGCCCAAATCTGCTGCTCTTGAAAGAGCACTGATTAATGAGTCAACCAGAAATGTGGTTTTGGTATGGGCACAAAATGTGGTGTCTATACAGTAGACCAGTGGTCCCCAACCTTTTGGGGCTGCGCAAGCGCTGTGCGCCCAGGGGCGCAAGAATGGCTCAGGCCGGCCCTGGTCACTAGGCAGGCGCACCTAAATGCCCTGGCAGGTGCCATGGTGCCCTCGAGCACCGCGTTCGGGACCACTGCAGAAGACCCAAAGGGAGTTATTGTGATTTTCACCAAACCAAATCCACACTTTATATGAAAAAAAGACAATGAAGATACCTAAGAGATATGACAAAATGCAACTCATTGTGTAGTTCATTCCAGTTTGTTTTTTCAGCACCTACCATATTTAAATTTCACTGAAACATTCTAAGTGGAGCGAATATAAATCTGAGCAGTAACAGAGCTGGCTGTACAACCTATGAGTCTTCCTTCTTCCCCCACCCTTTTTTTAAACTGCTGTAGTGTTAAGTAATCTAAGTAAAATATTCTGTTTTAATGCTAAGAGAAAACAGAACAATGCAGGATGATGTTCCACAGCCCATCAAGCCTTCTTTTGTCTGGATTCAACATAGACCTTAATATTTGGTGTTAGTAACAAAGTTTCTATAGCTCCTAATTTTTCTTCTTCAGTTTTGTCCCTGTTCCAGTTTTATTACCTGCTCTTAGCCAGACTTCCTCCAACATAGCAGTGAAAGCCTGTTACTTATCAAGTGCCTTCAAAACCCCTAGTTCTTGGAAATTTAGTGTCTACAATTCCTGAATAAAATACATGTTTGTTCAAAGTACTTGTATGTATAACAAGTTGCTGCCAAGCCTCCTAAATGTTGAAAAGACAATCTTAAATTGATTTCCAATCATTCATAACTAGGAAGGTTCCTGAAAACATCCTTCAGGAAACCAAGAGACTTGAGAGGACTGCAAAAAACAAAAAACCCAAAAGCTGTTGAACCACCACTGGGTTTTTTCCACAGATATTAAAGTGTTATTAAATCAGAATTAGCATTTCCTTAAATTGCTCAGAGCTATAGTGAAGGCAACGTTAGCATAAAAACTGTAACTGTCTTTAAATGTCCATCTTTACCCTGTGTTTTTTTCATACCATCAGTCTGATTTGTCATTTTTAGGTGCAAAAGGTAACAGCAACTATTCCTTAATTAATCTGATGCTGAAGTGCTGCTGAAACCGATACATAAATTATTTACATTTCTCTGATAGTTTGCAGTGTTTCGTTTTCTGGGTGCTCTGAACTCAAGGTTCTATTCTTCCAACATCAGAGAGGAAGTTTCCTTTAGTGAGGCAGTTGATTTTGACTATGCAAGATGTCAATATTCCACAATCTGTGATAATTAGCTGAATATCAAAGCCTGTAACAACATTTATGCCATATCCTTTAATTTTAGGCACAAAGAATGAAATTCATATACTAATATTTAGTAGTCACAACTAGGGATGCTAAATTTAGATTAACTGGCTAATAGAATAGTCAATGCAATATGCATCGACTATTTGATAAGGATGCCTCTGTCCCAGAGCTGTAGCTACACTTCAAAGGCAAGAGTGCTGTGGGGAGGACAGGGCCAGCGGAGGACTCAAGCAGTTGTCTGCTGGCCTCATGGTCCCCATGGCATTTCAAAGCAGCAGCACCACATAAAGCCCAGGGTCAGCTGAACTTCCCAACTATTCCTGGGCTGCACACAACATTTCAAAGTTGTAGACCCCAGGCTCCATGTGGCACTGCAGCTTTGATATGCCATGTGCAGCACAGTGTCTGGCCAGAGGCTCCATACAGTGCCGCCGCTTTGAAGCACCCCCCATCTTCTCCCCCTCCTCCCGCTGTCTTTCTGATGGAGGCAGCAACTAGCATATCGACTATCCAATAAGCATTTGCTTATCAGATAGTCAACTAGTCATTCACATACCTAGTCATAAGGCATAAATCAGTAACTTCCAAGGTGTCTCAGATCTACATTGCAAACTTACATCAGCATAGTTAGATCTGATGCATAAAAAAATCTATACCCTTGAGACATGAGTGATGGTGGCCTAGTCCTCAAAGTAGGCTCCGTGAGGTCAACAAAAGACGACTTCTATCAATCCAGCTATAATTTATTGAGCAGAGGAATTATTTATGCCAGTGGTCCCCAACCTTTTGGGGCCGGCATGCGCTGGGTGCAAGAATGGCTCAGGCCAGCCCTGGTCACTAGGCAGGCGCACATAAATGCCCCAGCAGGCACTGCATTGGGGACCACTGATTATGCCAACAGGCGAACCCCTTCCATCAGAATAAATGGTATCTAAAATGAAGCACTAGAGCAGCACAACAGTTGTGCCACTATAGCAGGTAAGTGGAAGCATACCCTCAGCACAAGTAAACTACCTGGCATGGATTCTCAAGAGTCCCAGGCCAGTTACAAACAGGTATTGGGCACATGGCCCTCTTATCACATGGAAATTTCTAAATGGAGGATCAGCACGTGAAAGTCTGAGAATCACTAAAACTAACTTTTGCGCATTTCAGAAAAATCAAGTGTACTGTCCATACCATGGAAGCTTGTAAACAATACCCATCTCCACAACTACGGCCAGTACACACTCCTCAGTAGGCAAGGCCCCTCCATCACTAATGCCTCTCTCTCTCTCTCCCCAGCACCTCACACAAGCTAGTAGACCATTTTGGAGCTCTCCTTTTTTAGCGGGCATAACAAGGCCCTTACCAGACTGCTAGGCCCAGGGTTTGGAGGGACACAACACTGAGCTGACTTTCCCAGGGCGATACTGAAGCCTGGCAACGAGTCCTCTCAGGTGCAGACACTTAACTCGGAATGACCCATTTGCACAGAAGGGACCCGAGAAACCCTCTCAGCGCTTTCTGGAGCGTCCCCAGCCCTGGCGCCAGGGACCGTACAACGCTCCAGCCATGGGGCGGGCCGAGGTGGGGCCAGGCCACAGCAGGGACGCCAGTCCTGGGGCTGCTCCGCAGACGTGACACTAGTCACGGCGAGCTCGGCTCAGAGGACACCAGCGCACGGCGGGGGCGCTGCCGGCTGCGCCCATTTGCCCCGGGGCGCTGCCTGCGGCGCCGCGCTGGACACAGGCCGCTGGCCGCCCGCTACCCATCGGCCGGGCCCCTCCCGAGCACTGCGCAGCAAAGGCGGAGCAGCAGGAGACTGTGCGCATGCGCCGAGTGGCTGTGTGAGGTGGCGGTTTCCAATCTCAGCTCCTGTCAACCCCGCTGTAACCGGGCCCCTCACCCCGGGGGCACCAGGAAGGGGACGGGCAGGTTCCTGCATGCCGGGAGAGCCCCGCAGCGTGAAGCGCGGCCGCGCAGCTAGACAGGGCGGCTCCGCTGGTCGAGGTCCGGCTCCCCACAGCCCACCGAGACCCCCCACCCCGTGCTCGAGCACCAACGCATCATGGGAAATGTAGTTCCTCTTCTGGTCGCCCCCAACAGAAGAGACTGGGCTAGGCCGCAGGAGAGAACTACAACTCCCAGGGTGCCTCACGGCTCCTACCTGCTCCGCGCTGGTGGTTGCTCCCCCGCTTCTTTGACTTGGGCATGGTCACCGGCGGCGCGCGCGACTCCCCTCGCTGGGTCTTGGTCTCTCTGTTCCCCCCCGCCCGGGTCTCAGCGACAATCAGCCGATGGAGGAGCAGGAGCGCTTTTTACTACAACGTCTCTGCGGGGCTGACTTCCCGGACCGAGGCAGTGGAGCAGCAGAGGTGGCGGCAGAAATCCCCGTGGAGGCCCGTGAACAGAATCGATGCATCTTTCTCCTCTCAGACACCTGGAGCTAAAGGCGAAGAGACGGCGCCGACGCCGCTTTTATAGCCAGACGAGCTACGGGGGCGGGCGAAGTGACGTTTGGTGGACGTCAACCGAATATGACCAATGGCCATCGCTGGTTTACCGGACGGGTGACTCATACACATGAGATGCCGGTCAGGGGACGCGTTGCATTTTGGGACGTGTAGTCCGTGAAGGCGTCGCTGCTTCTTTCTGGCTCACAAGGACAGCATCCAGGGCCGGGGAGCTGTACCGTGAGAGGGCATTCCAGGACACCATTGCATGCTGGGAAATGTAGGCTCAGCTTTTCTGTGCTGTGGTAGAACGCCATGGAGCGCACGTCGGCAGCCGCGTGTCCTCGTCTGACCTGCTGAGCGGGCGGGGACGCAAGCAGGGCGGGAGAGGAGAGGTTACGAGCAGCAGGGCTGACACAGGCTCACACAGGCTCTTGAGTCAGAGCCTGCCGGTGCTGCTGGGATCATGGATCACAGTGGAGATGGTTAAATGGCTCTTTGTGAAACACACGGAGCAAAATCCTCTCCCACTCCCCATCCAGGGGAGGAGACCCCAGCAGTGAGTTAGAGGGGGACACAGCGCGCTTCCTCTCCCCATGGCTTGTACTATGCGGTTTTACCCACGAAAGCTCATGATTTTACACATTTGTTAGTCTCTAAGTGTTTCTCAAACTTTTTGGCCCGTGACCCAAGCTGCACAAGGTAAATCTTTCTGCAGACCACCAGCCAACCACCGACGATGACAAAAAGGGTTCACTGGGGTGCAAGGTATGGGAGGGGGGGCTCAGGAGGGGACTCTGGGTGAGCCGTCTGGGAGGTTGGGTGCAGGAACTGGCTGAGGGGGAGAGATCTGGGCGGAAGGGAGGATGCAGAAGCAGGGTGAGAATGTGGGCACTCAGTGGGACAGTGTGTATTTGAGGGTGATGAAGGTGTGGGATCTAGCAGGAGGGGTATAGGACGCACCTACCTGTCTCCACACCCTGAGGCACCATCCTGTTACTCCCATTGCCTGGGATTCCAGCCAGTGGCAGCAGTCGGGAGAGCCTCCAGGCTAGCGATTTCCTGCATTGCTGTTCCCCCAGCCAGAGGGAGCGGACTGTCAGTGCAAGAAGTCACTTCCTCCCCCCCTCAAGCTACATCTAGCCTGCAAGGCTCAGCACTCCCTCCCTGCCCCCCCCCCCACGGTGGGGAACCAGCGCTGGCACTCTATCCTTACAGAGTGGGTACAGAGCTAAAGCACCAGCACGGGCTCTCCACATTGGGGGAGGGAGAGTCTCAAGCCTGTGGCCCACCTGCAGAGCACTAGGGGTCCTCTGAGATTTTGTATGCAGTTAGGTGTTATATGTGTCATAATTTAGCCAGTTCCCAACAAAGGTGGCAGGTTTTAGAAATTTTGGTGGTGCCCAAAACATCCAGAGCCCACACTCCTCAAACTCCCCTCCACAGGCTAAAGCTCCACAGAGAAGTTTGGGAAGGGGTGGAGTACGGGCTGTGAGAGGGAGTTTGTTTGTTGGGTGCTGGCTCTTGGCTGGGGCAGTGGATTAGGGTCCAGGAGGGTTGTAGGCTCTGGGAAGAAGTTTGCAGAAGGAGTGAGACTCTAGGCGGGAGTTTGGCTACAGAAGGGGGGATTTGGGATATAGGCTCTGGAGGGAGTTTGGGTGCTGGGTGCAGACTCTGGGCAAGGGTTGGGGATGGGGGGTAGGCTATGGGAGAGAATGTATATGTGGGAGGGTGTCTGGGGTGCAGGCTCTGGGATGGGGTTTGGGTGCTGAGTTCAGGATCGGGGTGGGGGCTCTGGGAGGGAGTTTAGGGTATGGAGGAGGTGTGGGGGAGGGGTATAGAGCAGGGGGGTGCAACTCTGGGAAGGGATGGGGTTGTGGTGCTTACTTGGGGCACCCCCCTCTGGCAATGGTTCCTAGGTGGAGGGACTCGGCATGCTGCTGCCCACTAGCACTACCCCTGCAGCTTCCATTCTCTGCAGGGTTGCTCAGGGCAGTGACAGTGCATGCATACCACTTCCCCTGCATAGGGGCTGCTGCTGGCGGCCTTTTAAAATTGCCCAGGGGTGGCAGGCAAGCCTGGGACACATGGGGGCAGCAGATGGGGTGGGGAAGATACTTGGACCCGAACTTTACTGAAATCAAGCCCCTGGGCCAGGACTATTCCTAGAACCTGAGAACCACAGGCTCATATAACTTGCAGCCCCTGATTCCCAACTATAGTACATATAGTGAAGGGTGGTGGGGATGAGTTGGCTGGTCATACGATGCTAGCCTGGCTCTCCTCATTTCCAGCTTCAATGTCACATTAAAGACAGCTAAAAATACATTGAATATTTTCCTATTAATGTTATGCTATGGGATTACCACAGATAATTTGTGATCATGAGTGGAAGGAAAGGCAATCCAGATACCTGTGAATGGGAGCAGATGGAGGCATCTAAAAAAAGGCATGCATATGCAATAGGACCATTCCACCATGCCTTTTGTTGTGAAGCTGGGAGTATCTTTCCCAGATCTGAAGAAGAGCTCTGTGTGCAACTCAAAGCTTGTCTCTGTCACCAACGGAAGTTAGTCCAATAAAAGATTTTACTTCACTTTATGTCATGTTGTTTTTCACATCCAAGAACAAACATGGCCTCAACTATACTGCACACATACAAGGATTTCTTAAGAGCAATTATAAACATAACTTGATGTTCTTAATGAAATGTACATCAGTTATCCAATGGAAGTGGAATATTTAAAAAATGTTAATTATGGATATTGTTGTTATGGATAAAAATTACAAAAGAAAAAAATGCTCATAAAAAGAAGCAAAAGGCACTGATCTCCTGGACCAAACAGGGAAAACATCATTATTGTGTTTATTTTTCCATCAAAATATCTCCAGGCTATTCTATTCTAGGCTTTATAGGATCTTACACCACACATCACTGTACTGTAGTGTCAACCACAGTTATGCCATTTAGGGATGTAGCTGGCTGTGTAGAATTTAACATAAACTAATTTCTAGTAAAAAATAACTTTAGATCAGTGGCAGACTAATATATGGACCCACAGGGCCTGTGCCTAGAGGCCCCAGCCAATTTGGGGGTCTCTAAGTCTGGCCAGAGACCACAGAGTCCACCTTCCCTGAGTTACATGGGCTCAGGGGAGTAGAGCACAATGGGCTGAGTGACATGGGCTCTGCTTCCCACTGCAATGGGGAAGCAGTGTGCCCCAGCTGGGAGATGGGAGACAGAGCAGAGCAGTCTGCTGGGTTGTGCCACTTCTCATGGCTCCCACTGCCATGATGAGGGAAGCAGGGGCCCAAATCCTGCTGCTACCCTGCACCGAGACCTTCAGTAATCACACAGGCCATGTCACTCAGGGGAGGGGGCTTCACGTAGGGGTACAATGAGGGATCAGAGGGTGGGACTTGGGGCAGGGATGAGGTGGAACAGGGATAGAGAAGGGGCAAGGCTTGGGGCAGAAGGGGCATTGCCCTGATCCCACACTCCCCTAAAGACAGCCCTGTCCCTCTTCTGCCCCCAGCTCCCTGTCCATTCCCACTCCCATTGCCCTGGCCCCCCACTGCCTCCCTATACACCTCCCTATCCAGGACTTAATTTGTCCCTGGGCTTGCTGGGTCTGAATAAGTTAACTGTGAAAAGTGAAATTTTGTTTGTTAGTCATTTTTCAGAGCAGACTTAGTAGCTATCTGGGGGTACGTCTAGACTACAGGCTTTTGTCGACAGAAGTTTCGTTGCCAGATACTGTCGACAAAGAGCATCTAGACTACATCCAGTTCTGTCGACAAAGCAAGCTGCTTTGTCAACATGACAGTGTAGACACAAAGGACAGTGTAGATGCAATAATGCCTTCTGTCGACAGAACTCTGTCGACAAAAGGCGTTATTCCTCGGAGGATGAGGTTTACAGCCGTTGACAAAACTGCTAAGTTCTGTCACCGTTATGTTGACAGACGTCAGCGGCAGTGTAGACGCAGGTATAGTTTTGTCGACAAAAGTCCACTTTTGTTGACAAAACCCTGTAGTCTAGACACACCCCTGGGTGTCTGTGAAAAGTGATAGCAACGTATAAGTGTCACTTTTCACAGCAGCAGACCTACTAGCTAGAGAATAGGAATGTAAACAGTTAACTGATTCCCCTGGAGCAGTGAAGGACTGCTCAAGCCTCCACAGCTAGCCCCATCCCCATCATGAGGGCTGGGAGCTGGCAGCCAGCCTGTGCAGGGTTACAAGCAGGAACCCTGTGGGTTGGAGGCTAGGGGCTGCTTCAAGCAGGCTGTAGTGGTCCCCCACCCAGATCCTGCTTATGCAGTTAACTGATTAATCAGGATTTTACATCCCTACTAGAAAGGCTTGGAAAAAGGAACTAAAAAAGCCAAAGAAACAATAACAAAAACCAAAAACAACAACAAAAAAACCCCAAGAAAAAAACAACAAATGGTCTGGTAGCACTTTAAAGACAAACAAAACATGTAGATGGTATCATGAGCTTTCATGGGCACAGCTCACTTCTTCAGATGACTTTGTTGTTTTTTTCTGTAACAGACTAAGGCAGCTACCCCCTGAAGCAAAAAAAACCAAGAACATGCGAAGTGCCTTATTTGTGTTTCTATTCTGCTTAGGTCGAATAAAGAATGTAGACAATGGTATATTGTATTTATTACCGAGTCTGCAAAACCCTGCATAAATTAATTATAATGAGTTGCACATGCATATATGCATACTTATTTGCTTTTTCTAAAGTTAAATAACTATTTTCGAAAAAAGTGTCTCAGTGACCACTATAAGTCACAGCCTCCGGGAGGGGCTCCCAATGCATAATGGTCAGATGATAGAAAACTGGAAGAAGTGAAAGAACTGTTTATTGACCTGTAAGGGTATGTCTACACAGTAGGGTTGAAGTCAAATTAAGCT